TGACTGTCTGATTGCGCAATAGTAGTATTTTATTTACAAAGATAAAGAAGGGGAAAAAACGGGGTTTTAGAATAGTGTCTTTATAACAGACTTCTCGTTGTTTCAGGACTCGTTATAAGTGGACTCCACTGTATTACTTCACACTTATAAATTGTGAAAATTTCACCTATAAGCATGAAGTATCTACATTTCCATAGGGCTCGAATCCGAGAAGTAACTCGTTTTGTCAGCACGCCTCTCATATATATTTTTTTCCAGGCGCTAAAAGCAGCTCGACACCGAGTGTCACATCCGGGCCAACAAAAGCACAAACGACGACAGGGACACAGAAGCCGGAAGTAGCTGGTGATAATATGGATTCTGGTGCACTTCCTGTTACGCCAATACCTCGGTTGGTGCCACTCTACACTGTCTGTTTGGTGGCTGTGGTCTTGTCGTGTTGGTAGAAGGGGTGGCTGGTTTGTTCGTTCGTTTGTGTGTCTGTTTAGTTTGTTGGTTGGTTGGTTGGTTGGTTGGTTGGTTGGTTGTTGTTGTTGTTGTTGCTCTTTAGTAGTAACATTTCGGACGTGTTGTTTATCGCTATTGTTGTATTATTGTTGCTGTTGCTGTGGTTGCTGCTGTTACTGTTGTTATTGTTGTTGATGGGGCGATGTTTGCTGCCTCTTCCTACAAAATGGCGACGCTGTGTGCTGAAGGTATGGCTCCCAGTGTTCTTCTTGGACAGACTTCTGCAGAAGGGGCTACTGAAAATGGGCGACATTTTATTTCACCAGCGCTTCATCATTATTATCTTACCGATGTCTCTGCTCTAGAGACAAGGCTATGTAGACTCTTTGGTTACACGTAGAAGATATGAGTTCGATTCCCAACAAGGAAGTTAGGTTTTTACTTTCTTTATCTTTCTTTTCTTTTTTCCCATAGAAATGTCACAACGCCGGGGAAGCAAACAGAGGCTAATAATATCGCGGCAAAAGGTGTCTCGCCTTCCAAGATGGCGATGTCGTCTGCTGGTGATATGGATTCTGGTGCACTTCCGGCTACGCCAAAACCTTGGTGGACTCAACTCTACGCTGTCTGTTTGGTGGCTTTGGTCTTGTCGTGTTGGTAGAAGGGGTGGTTTGTTTGTTTGTTTGTTGGTTGGTTTATCTGTTCGTTTTGTTGGTTGGTTGGTTGGTTGGTTGGTTGGTTGGTTGGCTGGTTGTTGCTGTTCTTTAGAGGTAACATTTCGGAATGTCGTTTATCGCTATTGTTGTATTATTGTTGCTGTTGTTGCTGCTGTTATTATTGTTGGTGGTGGTAGTGTTGTTGTTGATGGGGCGATAGTTGCTGCCTCTTTCTACAAAATGGCGATGTCGTGTGCTGAAGGTATGGCTCCCAGTGTTCTTCTTGGACAGACTTCTGCAGAAGGGGCTACTGAAAATGGGCGACATTTTATTTCACCAGCTCTACGTCATTATTATCTTACCGATGTCTCTGCTCTAGAGACAAGGTTACACGTAGAGGAAATGAGTTCGATTCTCAATCAAAAAGGAAATTGGTTTTTTCTTCTTTTTTATTGTTTCCCTTTTATTCCTATTTTTTTCCATAGAGTTGTTACAAAGAGATAGGGTTGGTTTTTTTCCTAGAAAGTGCAGACCAAAATGAAGTCGACTCTACATTTTGGGGAGTCTCTAGGAAAAAGGTGTGGTTTTTTGTTTGTTTGTTTAAATGTTTGTTTGTTTACTCATTTATTCATTTTACAAAAGCCATTTGAGGACAGGGTGGTTTTTTGTGTACTATTAATGATATTGTTGTTGCTGCTGCTGCTGTTGCTGTTGTTGTTCTTGTGACTGTGATGGCGATGGTGACGGAAGGGATGATGTTTTTATTTTTGCATCTAGTTGGTTTGGTGAAAGTAGTTTTGTTTTTATCTTCTCTGTAAGTTATTTTTTTTATTCGTCTCACTATTGTTTCATTTAGAAATATTATTTCTTTTTGTTATAGCTGTTTGTTTATTCGTTTCGTTTACCAACGCTTTTGGGTAGTGGCATTATTTGTTTGTTGTTGTTGTTGTTGTTGTTGACATTTTTGTCTTCTATACTTTTGTTATTACTGTACGCAACTCATTTGGATTGCCTTTTTTTATTTTTTTTTTACATAATTTGTTTATTCCATTGCATTCAATCATTTTCTTGAAATTGACATAACTAATAATAACATGTATGTTAATATGGTTTGAAACATATCATGCTGGGATGACGCGGTTGATTTCAGTTATCTGACGTCATCCAGCTACCGTTCAAGTCTCTTTGTTGTTTGTGGGTGGTTTGCTCTTTTTTTCCTGTCAAACATCTATCGTCCTTATCTCTCTTCCTTCGTTTTGTGTATGTTGCTCTCTTGTAACACATCTATTCTTCGGCACTTACATGACCTTATTGTGTTGCAAGTGCCGTAAAACTGTTACTAATACTAAACTCTTTGTTGTTCTCTACAATAGCGCGTTACGTTTAAGCTCCGCTCCTGCTACATTCACGACAAAGGTATAGTAATATGTGAGGCAGCGTGGTGGAATCAGGCTCTCGTCAAAATAATGGGGAAAAAACAGCAGTTGTCTCCCTGCTTAGCAATTTTCATCAAATTTTTGTTTTTTGACTCAACACCTTTTATGTCCATTTACAAACACATTTCTTTGAGGATTTCACAAAAAACGTTGATTAAAGGGACACTTTTTTTAAAAACAGTTTCTATGGACTCTCCAGCTTTGGAATTTACCAAGCTTTGGCGGCCATTTCCTCGCTATTTTTACCTCTTAAATCAGGTGACCCCCACCTCCTTCAAATCCAAATATCTCCACTTCTGTTGAAGATGGATGGGTAATTTTTTCATTGAAAGCAAGACAAATGAACAAGCTTTAACATGATACGAATAACTCAATATGCCCAAAAATTGACGACAGCCAGATTCCACCGCGCTGCCTCACATATTTTTTCGTTATTCTATGTGTAACGTTATTGTATTTGCTGATGTTGTTCTTTTTTAGCTGACATTTACCATTTCCTAAGGTACCAACCCTACTATGACTTACCGAACCTCTCACTTTCTTTTTCTATAGGAGACTATTTTATACAATCTGGCTAGCAAACCACCCAGACCCAAACCCGATCCCCCAATGGACACCCCTTATAACTCAACTCAACTCAACCCTGATTAATTCTAAAAGTGAACAGTTAGTTTTTAGTTTTAGTAGAGGGTTTTACAGCTCTCACAATTGCATAAGGTCATATGAGCGTCAAGGGGTGGGTGTCAACAGAGAAGTCCTTACAGGGAATCAGGCTTACTCTACTCACCTCTCTAGCCTCAACAGCACAAAGTCTGCGTCGACTATCAAGGCACCCCGGAAATAGCAGTTCACAAGAGACTGACAAACACACAAAAGAAGTAGAGGAAAAATGACGATACGTAATGATTTAGAAAGAAAAAGCAGCAGTTCACTGTTGTAGATCAGGCACAGTTATGAGCGTGACATGATGAATAAGCCCATTTACAGTTCTACTGTGCATGGACGAGAGATGCCCCCCCCCCTTTGGGAATGGCCTAAAGACATTACAGTCAGTGGCACTGCCCCGGGGGGGGGGGGGGGGGGAGGGGGGGAAGTGGACATACCCTGTGTCTCACTTGACGCCTTCAACAGCTGACAGGTGGGCACCCCCCGGGGCAGTGCCACAGACTGAAGTGTCTTTAGGCTAGAGCTGAGCGAAGAATTGATTCCGGAACCGATCCCACATTCAACGCAACAGAAGAAAAGTTCCGACTCCTTTTTACGTAAACCAACGGTTACCAATTACTTTAATTATTAAAATCTTTTCTTTTTTTTTAGAATTTATTTTTGGAATAAAAAAGTTGATAATTCGTAGTGTACCGAAATCTAGGTTATCCTAAATCCTGAAGATGTCTGGAGCCAACCAGGTAACCACTGGAAGAAACCGCATCATCAGAAAGTAAGTAATTGGGTTCGGAGTCGATTCCTATGATTCCTAGTTTTCAATAATCGGGATTCTACCCGCACAGCACTACTTTAGACCATTCCCAGAAGGGGGGGGGGGGACATTAACATTTTCTTATGCACAGTAGAATTGTAAATGGGCTGATTTATCATAGCCATGCTCATAACTGTGCCTGATCTTCAACAGGGAACTGCTACTTTTTCTTTCCTAATTCTTACTATCGTCATTTTTTCTCTACTTCTTTTGTACGTTTGTCACACTCGTGTGACCCGCTATTTCCGGGGTGCCTTGATAGTCGAAGCAGACTTTGTGCTGTTGAAGCTAGAGAGGTGAGCAGAGTAAGCCTGATTCCCTGTAAGGACTTCTCTGTTGACATCCACCCCTTGGCGCTCATATGACCTTATGCAGTTTCGAGCGCCGTAAAACCTCAACTAAAAGTAAACTGACAGATGGGCTGTCGTGAAGGGTGCGCTCTGTAAAGGACAGAACAAACACTAATAAAGGACACTTACTGTGACTACAAATGGCATGACCGGGAATAACATCCGTATGTACTGCCACTGGTATTTTTCGTAATGTATATTGATATGGACTTATGGTGCTACTTTTCAATGATTTGAGAAAAGGGGATAGATTTTTGTACGCCAAAAAATCCCCCCAAACAAACGTTTATTACGGTTTTATACATGCGCATGTATATATGTATAAATATTTTTGTTTTATATAAGTGTGTATGTAGGTGTGTGTGTGTGTGTATGTGTGAGTGTGTGCTCGCGCGGGCGAGCGCGCACGTGTGTGTGTGTGTGTGTTTGAGTGAGTGAGTGAGTGAGTGAGTGAGTGAGTGAGTGAGTGAGTGTTCATTAATGTTTAATACGGCATCCGTCTATCTGATCTATCTATCTATCTGTTATACACGTACACACATGTATTTGTATTTACAATATCTGAAAAAGAATACCTACCAAAAGGCTTTATATGTTCAATTTGTAAAACTTTATTGCTCGTTAATTCTTTTGTTTTACCTGAAATGTACTCTATTTCCGTTACTGGTTAATATAATGCTTCAGTCACTGACGTTTATTTTAGCTTTCTAACTATGTTCTTAAAACCTGTCGTTAATGTACGTGCACTATAATAATACCGGTAAAATAAACTACCGGCATCATAAACTATATCGTCACCGTCATAATACAATTTTTGCATAAGTCTTTTCTTATCAGGTTTCTAGTTAATGGTATGGTTAAAATGCCTGTTACTAATTTCGTAACCCCAATGTAGCAGGGTGATTTTAAACAGCTAAACATACAGTGATGTCCTCAGATTAGAAGGCTAGCGTGAACAAAGACTGGATGGTTACCACTTTTTTTTAAATCCTGCATTTTTAATCTGTCTTTAAGTTACATCAAAGCAAATTTAAAAAATCACAAAGCCACTTTAATTGTTACAACCATGACGTTTTTGCACAGGGTTTCACTCAGGTCAAGACACATAAACACAGTGTAATATTTTCAAAAGGTGCACGTTAAATGACAACATTAGCTACCCTTGGTTTCCCCCATTTTTCAAGTAAGTTACAAAGTCGTGTCATTCGTGCTTGACATCACAGCAAATCACATGACGTGGTCCCACAAACAGTAGAGACCTCGAATGTCTGCTGTAGGTCTAGTGAGCTCCCAATGGGGGACTCAAGTAGATTTTTACCCAAGATTTTACATAGTTGAAATAGTAACAAATGGCTACCCTAGAATTACTAAGTTCTGTCAGCTCGGTACCTCGTTTTAAGAAATTTTGCGTTAACAGAAATTGAGTTTCTCAAAATGCCAAGTTTTTGCGAATGCAATGGCAGGGGCGAGAAACTTGAGACCGTCAACAGCTTCAAATACCTCGGATCTATCGTCTCAGATGAAGGCTCAAGACCAGAAATTCTCTCCAGAATCGCGCAAACAACAGCTGCGCTGTCAAAACGGAAGCCTATTTAGAGGGACAGAAACATCACGCACAGCTAAATAATTAGACTAATGCGCTCACTGGTCATCTCAATATTTTTATACGCCTGCGAATCATGGACACTGACAGCAGAATTAGAGAAAAAGATTCAGACCACAGAGGTGAGATGTTACCGCGGACTCCTTGACATCTCGTACAAAGACCACGTTTCAAATGCTGAAGTACGAAAGAGAATCACCAACGCAGTGGGGCAATATGAAGATCTACTGACCACAGTGAAGAGACGAAATCTAAAATGGTATGGACATGTCACAAGATCCACAGGACTTGCCAAAACAATCCTGCAAGGAACCATACAAGGAAAGAGAAAGAAAGTAAGGCAGAGAAGGAGGAGAGTGGACAGGAAAGACGATGGGTGACAATCTGAGGAGAGCAGAGGACAAAAATAGATGGCGAGAGCTGGTTTTCCAATGCAGTGATGCCCCAACAGTTGCCCCAACCACGGGATAGAAGAAGAAGAAGAAGTTCCTTGGATATCTTGATAAAGGCTCCGAATAATCTTACTATTTTGAAATAGCACGTAGAACAATTTGTTTTTGACCTCATGGTCTAAGCAACTCACAACAGCCAAAAGACAGTGTTTGTCTTATAGAACTGTGTATTCTAAGGTAGCGACAGAACGTCTTCACTGTGATTTCCTCCCTGTGTACTCTATCGGTGGAAATGAACAAATTCACCCTATAATGTGAGCGGTGTAACTATCATGTAATTGAAGGTGAATTTCACTTTATTTTCTATTGTTCATACTTTGTCCAACAAAGGAAATTGTTAATTCCTCCCAGCCTGACTCGGCCCAGTGACAGAAATATGCAATGTTTGACCCATGATAAGAAAGAGATATGTGCACAACCTGTACTTTTCACTATGGAAACTTTATTTATCACATGAGTGTTTTATATGTCGAGATGTTGGCCAATGGCTTTAAACACTGATAAACTTACTTACTTACTGCGGTGGTGGAGCGGTTAGTGCGCTCGTCTCCGAAGCGGAAAGTCCGGGTTCGAGCCTCGGTTCGGACACAGATTTTTTTCGCCCCCTCCTGCCCATCCAGCAGTAATGGGTAACATCAAGTTGCGGAAGTAAAGGCGGCGTGGAAAGGAACTGGCCACCCTACCACAATACCATGCCGAAGGAAGTTGTCTCACTAACAAGGCAATCCCCAATGTCCAGATCGGATGCGGGAACAGCTGTACTTTTTATTTACTTACTTACTTACCTCCATATGTTACGCAAAAGTCATGATGACGACGACGATATAGGGTGTAGGCCAGATTCACGTGACCTAAT